GGGATCTGAGGGAATCCTGCCCGGCTCTGAGGGGCTCAGCTGGGATCTGAGGGGCTCAGCCAGGATCTGAGGGAATCCTGCCTGGCTCTGAGGGGCTCCAGCTGGAATCCCAGGGGTTCCTGCCCGGCTCCGAGGGGCTCAGCCGGGGTCTGAGGGGATCCCTGTGATTCCCAGCTCTCATCCCATCCCGCTGGCAGCTGACACCGTTTTTCCCCGGCGTGCAGGAGGAAGCAGATGCCGGCGGCGGGAAGAGCCGGCGGCGCGGGATCAGCAGCACCTCATCCCGAGCCTGGCTCCTCCTCATGGATGTCATCCCACCCCTGTTCCCTCTGGAGCCTCCCGGAATGTCAGTGTTTACCACAACAGCTCCTTGTTTACATGGATTTTCTCCCGGAATGCTGGTGGGTGACACAGCCCAGAGCCTGGGAATGGGGAGGGCTGGAATTTGGGATCGAGGCTCCGTTTCCGAGGGATTTGGGAAGTGCTGCCGCACCCAGGCCGGAAGGAAAAAATAATAGTGTATATAAATAATTTAAAAAGCCCTTTCAGTGGAACAGCAAACTTGGAGAAAAGGAGTATTTATATATAAAGGTGGTTTTTGCTACCAGTGCAGGTATTTATTTAAATAAAGGACAAAGAGGAGCCATTTGGGGCTGGAGAAATGATCAGAACTATGGAAAAAGCAAATTATTGACTGGATAGACTGAAACATTTCCGTCAGTAGGAATATTCCTGTGTTACACTGGCTGTGACTGTGTTTCCTTCTTACATATCTTCATTTTGTGGAATATTTAGTGTGAAATCTGCTGGTTTCTGCTCACGGGCAAGAGAAGATTCTCTCTTAATTGTGTGTTTGTCCAGCTTTTCCTTGGCTGCAGAGCTTGGCCCTACATGTTAAACTAAAAGCGGTACTTGGAGAATCCAAGAGGAATAAATTAATTCCTCAAATGGCTTCTAAGGGTAAAATGCATTTATTTCCTCGTGCAGTGCTCAGGTGAGATTTGCAGCCCAGCAGCTCCATATCTACCTGCTGTTTAAAATCCCATTCCAAAGCAGGACATTAGGAATGTTGACCACAAACTGCCGGGAACGTTCCCGGCGGATATTCCTGGCCCTGTCATTCCAGTGTGAGCTTCCCGTGCCGTATCCCTGCTGTGTTTGTCAGTGTAGAGGTGTCTGTGGCTTTCCCTGGCAGTTCCCAAGCCAAAGGTGACACCTGGGTGAGAGGGGGGTGACGGGAGTCACCGTGTGACCGGTTCCAGGGGCTGCTCCTCCGGGAATCCGCTCCCCTCCCTGCCTGTGGATAAAAATTCCCGGTGTAAAGATGCTCGTGGAATAAAACTGGACTGAAACCTGTCGGTTTTCCTGGGTGTCAGTAATTCCCTTTGGAAATAGGCAGGAATGAGAGCAGGAATTGTGGGAATCCTCCGCTTCCAGAGCACGTGGACGTGTTCGACCTCCGTGGCTCCGGCATTCCCGGGAGGATCCAGGGAGGGAAGGGGCAGAGGCGGCAGCGCCCGGAGAACCCTCTGCTCTCCTTCAGCTGCTGAGCCTTGGAAAAATCAATCCCTGGGAGCCAGGAGGGAAATCTTTCCAAGCTCTAACTAGAGGATGCGCTCTGACAAGGCCGGGCCGAGCCGGCGGCGCGGGGAGAGGGAGGGGAGCGGGGTCGTTTCCAACCCTGACCCTCCAAGGTGG